TGTAAATTTTTGCAAAGGTTTGTTTTCCAGAAGACAGGCAAAAGTACCCTTCAACAATATGTGATTTTTATTTGGAGGACAAAAGGAATTTGTCCTCATTATTTTTAGGTCAAGGCAGACCACCATAGAAAAATTTGACAGTGTTGTCCAAAACTCAAAAGTGTCAATCCAGTCAGTCATACAGATATGAAGTCACCTGCTACAATGCTTCTGAAATAAGATTATTACTTGATACTTCCCATCTCACAAATACCCTAGATGTCCCCAGAGAGATCAGAAACAACTCTGGCTACTAATAATTCCCCTACCAGAAGCATCAAGTAGTTACTGTGGCCCAGGTGCTTCTCAGAAAGTATCTTAGAGAAGCATTTCAGTCATTCAAGTCTAGGGCTTGAGAAAAGAGCACAATCCTGAATTTTATCTTTGTGCTGAGATACTAAATTTGTCTCGAGTACATTAAAGCTTTCAAATCATGTCAAGGATCTTTTCTTAGATCGAAGAAAGATTTTATCATCACTGGTTTAATTCCTCGTAAAAACTTTGCTAGTCACTGACATGGAAAGAGGAGCATAAAATTCGATGTCGGTCACCAGTATCAGCAGTTCATACTCTCTGGGTACCAAAGATAAGGTGTCGAAGAAACAGGGACAGCAATAACAGCTTAAATACCTCAAATTCCCACTGACAGGTCAAACTACCTTTTCAGATACAAGAGCTGGCAGTGTATCTAGAAGTGTATCTAGAAAACTGATTCATCCTGATCAGTTTTGAATGAAGTGTCCAAAAAAAAGGCTACCATCTGTGAAGGGCTTTATTATTTGGCGAGGATAATGGTATCTTCTGGCACAACAGCTTTGTCTTTTACTTTTTTAAATATATATATTACATACCTACATATGTATGTATATGGGAAGATCTACCGGTCTTTTTCCAAATCAAGATGCACAGTCAGATCTTTTGAGGACTAGGAACACACTCTCCAGGGCAACTCCAGGAAGGGGCAGCTCACAAGTTTTCAACAATTAGCAGAAAGCATGAAACATCTGTATAGCTGGGATGATGCTAAAACATCTGGGTTGAGAGCAGCACAGACAAAATACTCTTTTGTTTTCTATCAAGAGAGCTGCTTATCAAAGAGAACTATAATTCATGCCCAGGGCAAAAAGAGGTGAAAATACAGGCTTGTTTATTTTGTGGAGAAGTTTTACACACTGCACTGCAATGTTAATACCTACAAAACAGGTTCAGCAAGGTTTGACCCAGTATGTACACCCAGTGCTTAGTCTGCTGAGGCTTTGCTCATACCAGCACACAGGATGGTACCTTGCTGGGTGCTTGTGTCACACTGACCCAACCAGCACAGAAACTCTTCCAAAGAAATAAAGATTCTCCACAAAAGGAGCACAGAGAAAACACTATTGAAGATCAACATAATTTAGCAGCCACTGTTTACATAAAGAGATGACACGGTGACAGCAAAAGATAATCAAGATATACAAGTTTTCTAGTTTAAGTGAACTGTATATACATGACACAACAGAGTAAGATTTAAATAGGCAATATGCAAGAAAGTGTAATACGTGGCCTAGTGCTCTAAGAACAAATGGTTGGGTAATTATTACCTAGTCAGATGTAATCAGCAGTGTACAGAAATAGCAAAATGCTTTTGCATACCTGTAGTGTCATCCAATTTTTCCTGAAATTATTTGTCCTTCTGACATTTTTGGTCAAATCAAGGGGTTATAGTCTTTCCAGCACACACTGATTACTGTTTGTACAAAAGACTGTGCTAAGTGCAATCTCTGATTAATGAAGTGGACTGACAATAATATGTGATATATTTAGAATAAGTCTAAGATGCCTTTTCTTCATTGTAAATGAAATGTCCCCACAGAAAAAAAATAAACTGTTTAGATACCAGAAAAGGATTTTAATTTCTCTCATATTCAGTAGTGCCTGTATATACATGCCTGTTGTTCTGTTATGATCATGTTAAGTACTTCAAAACCATGTTTACCATGTTCGTTACAACCCTATTAAATAAAAATAGGTTTTATATAAATAGGTTAAAAAACAATTTTCATCTGGATTTCATAGCTTTTTAAACCTAGAGTCTGAAAGCAAATTCTCATACAGAGCAGGTTTATGAGATGTGAATCGTTTGTTTTCAAGTCATCTGATGAGCCTATGAACAAGCTACATTGTGAGGGGGAATAAAAAGATTTTGAGGTATAGGGGTATAATGAATCATGCCTATTTATTAGTCATCCTAATGAATACCTGCAAATTATTATGCAATAAAGTTATTTTCACAAATTGGAGAATAGAGACATACATGTCAGTTACAAGGACAATTGTGCAGTTTACTGTCAAGCAATTCTACTAATGATTTAAATTGGTGATTAAATATCACATCAGCTGAGACATTTTAGAACTCCTTGAACTTCCAGTATGGAAATTTACTGTGTATAATTATATTACTGAAAAATATCCATACAGTAAATGAATATGCAGATCTCTTTATTTAGCAACCATAATGCATCTATATTTACTAGCTGATCTGTTTACACTGTTGATGCTGTTTGCAGAAGGCCATTAGCCTTCTAATTTGTTTTCTAGTAAAAAATGAAATTACAAGAAATTAGTGAGATTGAACTACTAAAAAATTAGCAGTATTAGAAGAGTATTTTAGGGTGCTTGGCACAGAAAGATTACCGTCCGTGACTATGGCTTCTAGCAATGCTTTTTAAACACTGTCAATTTGATTTTTCAAATAAAGATAGCAAGAAAAATACTAAAATCCCTTTAAAATACTATTTTCGTATAATTTTCTCATAAAAACATATTTGTAAAGTCTTGTGCTTTATTTGTTGTTGGTATGAGCTATAGACAAGACACGGATAGTAATTTTAAGCCTATTAGCAAAATTACATAACCTAACACTATGACCATTTCTTGCTGTATTTAAACTGCACATATGTTTGAGCAGAGGCCATACCTTTTTTCAGAAACTTTTGCCATTATTTTTAGTACAAGAGTTGGTCAAAGTTCTAATGTATTTTTAAATAAGCCCTCATTGTTGCACATAATAATGACAGCAATAGTCTCAGGATTTTTTGGCTAAGATACCCCACAGACAAAGCTATTTAAAAGATAAAGCCTTTCCTTCTGTTTAAGGAGAAAGAGAAGTCTACCAGAGGAGTAGGCCTTCCTTCAAATAGCCAGAGAAAATGCTTAATAAACCAACACTTTTCATCTTGCAGAAGGAAGCTGAAATATATAGCATCAATCAGAAAAAACACAGCATAGTTCAGGATGAAGTATTTAATGTACCATATTAATCATTCAGAGAGCTCCCTGTAGCAATTACAAAACAAACTATAAGAACTTAAGAAAATATAAAATATGGTCAAAGAAATAGTAAGGCAGGGAAGATATAAAATTGGATGGAGTAAAGAAGGAGAAATGCAAATCTAGGGAATGGTTGTAACAGAACAAGAATTTAAACTTTGGTCTTTCAAATTTTCCCAGACATTCATGGCATGCAGTGCCCAAAGCAGGTATGTGAGTAAGCAGGTAATACTGCTCTCAAAAAGGTGGATAGAGATAAGACAGAGAGGGTAACCATATCCTACTCCAGAGCAAACCACACAATTCTCCATGGGCACAGAAACAACAGCTCCCATGTTAAAATGTTCCATTCCTTTGCAGTCACTTCTGTAGAATCATTCCCAACATGAAAGAGAATTTCACATCACCTCAAAGGAAGAATGTTATTTAGCTATGATAAACTTGGGTACAGCAATATGGCTTGTCTAAGGCAAACAGAGATTGTGCAGCTGGGGACATTTCACTCCTATTCCAAGTCTTGCAGAAGACAGAGAATCCAGTGATAACAGTCTTCATAGCTCAGACCTCCTTAAGCAAAACAAACGAAACTTCGGTTTTACACCTTGAAAACAAAACACACTAAAAGGCAATAAAATTTCTCCAACTAATGTGAAGAAAAACACAGCATTCCAGTAATTCAGAATGAATTCTGTTTCCTTGATACTCTCAACCGATAGTTTTTGACTGACTATCAAGAAAAAGAGCAATTTATATTAGAAAACACTAAGAAACAGTTCTCAGATACAAGTAAAAAGTTTAGAAACTTTTCAAGGAAAGCTTTAAAATATGATGATAATAGGCATTTTAATACTTGTAGTTCTATTTGTGTTTCCACTGATTGACCCCTGAATGGACATTGGCTCACAGAATTAAAACCATTTTCAGTTATAACTGAGGATTTGAATTTTCATCTGTGGCACTCATAAATGACTGTTTCAGTAGAGCACTACACCGTTGGATGAAGGTCAAACATATATACACATTTCCCACTGTCCAAATCACATTTCTAAGAAAAGCACATAGAACAAAATAGGGACACGCAATTGCCAGCCAACTGAATTATTTCTGAAAGCACTCTACCAATTTCCTAAATTTGATTTCCACTAAATCAGAGCCAAACTGAACAAACAGTCCAATTGAACACTGAATTAATCCATTAAAAAGGTCTGGACTTCAAACATTCACATTGTCCAGAAAATAAAATCAGTAACAATCCATGCCTAACATCTCAAACTGGAGCACTCATTTGACAAAGGACTAAGCAGTAGCATGAAGAAAATCCTCCCCTAGGACACCAGAGTTCCTTAGTCATTATTTTGATGTTGAAGGAATAAGGTAATTAGCACATCTTTGTCACTATGTATAAGCATAAGAAGAATTGCAAAATAACCAATCCACTAAACCATGTCCACTATTCCCTGAATAAATAGACAAAGCCGGGCTCTTCAGGATTGTTTCTCAGAAACCCAAGATTGACACCTATTCCTTTTCCTGGAAGAAGACAGACATCAGTCTACATCTTGAAGAAGATCCACATCAGTTCCTGAAAGGAGTGTTACTTGTAATTAAAGACAGGTTAGAAATTGTGTAAGAATTGTGTAAGTGATTACCTCTCCTATAAAGACAACCATAACACAATCCAGTTTTTCTTCAGGGGACAGCTTATCAATAAGGGAGTGGAGCGTTTCTGTAAGGTAAGACTTGACTTTTCTTTTCACTGTAGGTATTCCCATTACAATGGAAACTGAAATCAAAAGAAACCAGAAATGTACTTTCAGTGACTTCATACACAAAAATCTTGCAATAAAGCATTACTTAAGAAATGCAAGGAGTTAAAAGGTCAAGAGCACAGTAATTAAAAATAGTTTAAAAATATACCACCCATCATCAGGAGCATGATTAACATAATCACCACCAATGCTCAGAACAAACACAGCAAACAAAAAAGTAATCCTGGAGATGCCAGATTATTGCACAAGTGTGGTGGGCTGATCCTGACTGGACATCAGGTATCCACCAAAGCCACTCTATCACTCTCCTCCTCAGCTGGATGGGGAAGAGAAAAATAACAAAAGGCTTGTGCGTGGAGATAAGGGCAGGGAGAGGTCACTCACCAATTACTGTCACAGGCAAAACAGACTCAAGGAAATTAATTTAATTTATTACCAATCAAATCTGCCTAAGGTAATGAGAAATAAAAATAAATCTTAAAACACCTTCCCCTTTACTCCTCCCTTTTTCCTGGGCTCAACTTCACACTCGATTTCTCCACCTCTTCCCAGCCAGCAGCAGAGAGGTCAGAAAATGGTGGCTGCACTCAGTTCATTACTCATGGTCTCTGCCACTTCTCTCTCCTCGAGGGGAGGACTCCTCACACTCTTCCTGTGTTCCAGCATGTGGTTCCTCCCATGGGAGATGGTCCTCCATGAACTTCTTCAATATGACTTCTTCCTATGGATGTAGTTCTTCATGAACTGCTCTACTGTGGGTCCTTTCCACATGGTGCAGTCCTTCAGGATCACACTGATTCAGCGTGGGTCCCCTCTGGGGTCATAAGTCCTGCCAGCAAACCTGCTCCAGTGTGGGCTCCTCTCTCCATAGGGCCACAGGTCCTGCCAGGAGCCTGCTCCACCGTGGGCTTCCCACAGGGTCACAGTCTCCTTTAGGCATCCACCTGCTCTAGTGAGGTCCTCCACAGGCTGCCGATGGATCTCTGCTCCACCAGGAACCTCCATGGACTGCAGGGGGACAACCTGCCTCACCATTGTCTTCACCACAGGCTGCAGGGGAATTTCTGCTCCAGCATCCATGGCACTACCTCCTCCTCCTTCTGCACTGACCTTGGTGTTTACAGTTCTCTCTCTCATACTCCTTCACTCCTCTCTCCAGCTCCAATTGCCCTTGTGCAGTTTTTTCCCCCCTCTTAAATCTGTTATTCCAGTGGCGCTGGTCTGGCTATTGGTAAACTGCTGGCATCCTCACACAGAAGCCACCCTGGTAGCCCCCCCACCCCACCCCAAACACTGTCACACAAAACTCAACACAATAGGGAACAATCAACAACCACTGTATTAATCGGATAAGGTGCACCAAGTCTTAGAGAGTGATTCAACTTCCTAACTTAAGTTTTATTTTCAAATTGACATAACCATTCTTCACAACTCAAGTATTTAACTACTCAGAAGTCATCTTTTTTTTAAAAAAAAACCCACTGCTGAAAAACTCTATTACTTTCCTTGCACCTAGTTTTGGTTCTTCTAGAAAAACAAGTCCAGGGCATCAGAATAGCACAGAAATCCTCAACGAAATTTCTTGTCTCTGACAAAAGCACCTCAAATGCAAAGCAATACAGCCCCAGCTACAATGCTACTAACACCATCTTTCAGCTGGCCATTTGACTCCCGTGTTCCTTAACTTTTCCATACTCTTTCTTTTGCACCCTACCCTGAACACAGGGCTGGTTACCTAATGGGAAAACAGCAGATAACAGCAGGAATGCAGTAAAAGGATAAAGCAGACTTCATGAAGACAGCACCAGCATTCTGAGCCCCCTATGTGAAATGATTTACCACATCATAAATGTATTAAACAACTATTAATAATGTTGGTTATCCTTCCATATAGAGCCTGCTTTGCCTAGCAACTGCACATTAACAAGCTCTGAATTTTTAAAACAAACACTCAAATAATCACAGTGACCAGGAAAGGGAAAAGATGGGAAAATAATTTAAAACACTGAATTTCCTCCCACTGTTTAATTAAATAAATAAACCTGATTCCAATTTCTATTTTGTAATTCTAAATTTCTGTCATATATTCCCAGTGGGATATAATACAGGCTTCACTTAAAACAATTAAGGGATATTAGATTTCTCCTCCCTGAATAACATCAAAATAAAAGGTGGTTATAGTCAGAAAAATAAACCAATGGTTCAAGCCCACACATTTGTAATGCAGGCATGCCTTCTGTTAAAATAAGGAACAATCAAACTTACTCAAGTAATGAAAAAAATGCAGGCCAAGAGTAACTACTGCTTGTTTCAAAAACAAGGAGGGGAAGGAAAAAAAAAAAGAAGGATCTAGTGGACAATAACAGAAGTCTTCTTTCAAGTCAGGTAGAACAGAGAGAAACAAGGATTTATTGGTGCGGCCTTCAAGCTTAGAGACACACACACACTTTGAGGTATAATCAGCCTGGTTTGGCTATATGCTCAAGAGTGGGATCCCATGTAGCTATCCTAATGGCCAAAGCTCAGAATTTGTGAGGAATGGGAGGGGGAAAAAAAAAAAAAAAAAGGAGATCAACAGTATTGCAGCACAACACTGATTTTTTGTCCTCCTCCAATGACTGCCCAGATTTTATTGATGCAATTATATCTGATTATTCTAGTTTTTTCAACTCTAAATTTATACATTGAAATACATTGTTCAGAACAACAGAAACATCAACACTAAAATAACTATATCCACGTATGGTTGCCCCAGAAATCTGAAAAGACAAAGGGATGTATCCAATTAGCTGTTCAGAATCTGTAATGCTCGAACTTTGTTTCCTTTTAGTTACAAAAAATTCATCCAAACTAAATGCTTCTTAACGTGTACTTTAACAGGGCGTGGGGTGTGACTGAGGTTATGCAGAAAAGAGCAAAGCTGAAACCAAGCTCCTTTCATCTTGAATTCAGTGCGAATTCAAAGGATATCAATATCACACAAGTTAAATGAGATGTCCTTGATCTACCAAGTAATGCAGTAAATTATATTTCTAAAACTAGAAAGTCCTCCAGATATAAAATATGAAATAACCATTGTTATCAGCATACCTCCTGTCCTTCCAAGGCCAACCTGCACTGAGGGTTGAAGGCTTCCTTCATTTTTCAGCAAATGAGGCAAATGGTAATAGATATTTGGCACTTGAAGAGATTTTCTACTTGTTAGCTCTTTCAACAATTTCAGCGTCTCATCTGCAAACATACAGGAAATCAGTAATGCAGAAAACAATATGAAGCCTTAAGCAATGGTAAACACTATAGAATTCCAATATTGGTCCTAACTGAGAGCCAGAATGCATTATACACTTTTCTGAGTCATTATATCTTGTGTACAAAGGAAGTATTTTCTTATTTTGATTTTTTAATGCACAATGGCCGAGACTCTTTTGCACCTATAACCTTGCTACAGATATGTAAGATTTACAGCAGTAAAGTGAATTTACAGAAGTAAAGGACGCTCTACTTCTTTGGGGGTTTGATAGGTTTGTGATTGAGGGTTTTTTAAAATGAATCAAAATGGGTGGCTTATTTATCTAGATTATTTTTTACTTGCATTTATAGAGCTCATCACCACGCAGCAATGCCACTGCAAATAACTTTTCAAAGCTACAAATACATATTGGAATACACTGCACAAACAGATTCAAAATAAAAATAGCATTAAATATACAACTGAGATTTTGAGTATTCCTACTTAAAAAAAAATATGCTAATGCGAATTTAATTTATCCATTAGAGTACTTAAAATAATTCTTGCTCTTTCTGAATTAACTGCCTCTCAGGATGTCCAGGTGGCTCTCAAAGTTGCAAACAACAGTTTTTAAATTCCCCTGCTGTGCATGTTGATTTTCTTGCATCAAGTGTGAAAACAACTCATTTCAAATGACACATGTGATAGCATATGGATCTTTGAAAACTTATGGGCTTTATAATATCAAGTTAAGTAAAAACTATACTTAAGGTTTCTAAGATAAAATTGTGAAGATGTGAGAAAAGTAATGCCGTAAATGTAATTCCTCTCAGATCCTGAGTGCAGCTTCTACAAAGATAGAAGAGTTTTGTTATGGATTTTGGTTTGGTATGTTTCGGGATTTTTCTGGCATTTATTTTTGTGTGAAACTAAATTCCTAACTCTTCAAATCTTGAAAAGCAGCTTGTAAATACATGCCATAAGTAGAGATGTTTATTTTAATAGATTCCAATACAGGTATATTTTACTTTTCCTGCCAACGTTTCTTTTAGCTTCAGCTGCAAAAACTGGAATAAATTCTGTCAAAGTATGACAGCTCTGTGTATGAATCGATAAAGATCTGCATAAAACAATCCAGAACTCTTCCAGCTTCAAAGACAAAAAATGCTATATAATATTATGTATACTTAAGTATATTAAACTTAATACAAATCTATCTAATATTATGCTCTGAGCACAAAAGCTCAGGAATTCAACTTCAGCTTACTTCCCACCATGGCCCAGGGGAAAAAGGAGGTCCATCCCATTTGCGATCCAGACATGGTAGAATGTAAAAAATGTGAATCAGTAGCAGAAAAGAAAAACTTCATATCACTATATTGCCTATAAACAAGCTAAGTAATTTCTAGAAAAAAATGTGGTAATAACTTAATTCTAAATCTAGAATCAAAATTACTTGACTTCCTCCATGGTTGTTCACTTTAACAGCAAAAGCATGCACACAGAATAGGAAGACAACATTTACAGCCTAAGTTAAATGTACCCCTTAAACATACAATTCCTAGAGATCCAGGGGACTACTGGGATCAGGATGGACAGGCCATTGTATAGGACAGCAATTCATCATTAGTATCAGCACCACTCCCCCACCAAAAAAAAAATTCTATAGAAAATAGTAGCCTATAGAACAAATGCAAGTAGAAAACTGGTTTTTGACTTGCAAAACTCTTTGGTTTTAAATTCCTCATTAGGGAAGTACAATGAAATTTCTGCATTTTCCAAATCAGGCCTCTTGCCAGAAACTTATATTTATTTGTTACTCATTTTCCATCTAGAAAAATCAGAGTGACTAAAGCAGTAACAGTGTGATTTTAAAAGTTAATTCCAATAATCTGGTGAGTAGTGTAAGGTCATTCTCTAATACTGCCATACACCGCTCTCTAAACTTGAGTATCTGTCTCCAAAATGATTAAAAACTTCCAGAAGACTTTACCAGTTTACCATTTAATCACTATTTATTAAAAAGGCTGTTTTCTTACAAATCATAATACCTTAGTCTGTATGTTTTTACGTCTTCCAGTTGACTTTTAAACCTACTTGAATTGTTTCAAGTTCATCCATTTCTTCTGTTTCTCACCTTTCCCCTCAAACTCTCTTTAAAAACTCATGTAAACTATTGTTAAAATATATACAATATGTTAAATAAGTAACAAAGTAACCAAAAGTTCCAGCTTTGGGAGCTAGGTGTGAAGTAAGTATTCAGTCCCTAAAGTAATAAGAATGAAGGGTGGGTGAATCATTAAGAACAGAAATTGGAAAAAACATAAAACAAAAAAATCTACACCAGATATAACATATTAGACATTCTTTAATCACACTGCTGAACAGTTTCATTTGGCTTTCTTGGTAGCAATTTCTTATGCTATAGTAATAAGAAGAGATATTGGCATTGCTGAGTTATTAAAATACACAGTATGTACCTGAAAAATTATTCATTGCATTCTTACTCCCATTTGTTTCTGCTACTGCACGCCTGAACTGCTCCAAGATAGCGTTCAGCTCCGAAGAGCGCTGCAGAGTGCGATGCTCAGCTATACGAAGACGTTCCTTCAAAGCATGAAATTCCCGCTGATATGCAATCAACTTTTCTAGAGAGAAAAAAGACGATCCTAGTTATTTTTGGAAACAAACACCTACCGACAGATTCAATGAGGGTCTAACACAGCTCAGCTATGCAGCACCTGAAATGCAACCAAGGGCTCAGCCCAGAACAATCCCACCTGAGGAGCTGGGCATTTACACAGCATACAGAGGGAAGAGCTGTACAGGACAGGGATGCAAAGTAGGCACTGAGGGGGGCATACCCCTCATCACAGCCATAGACAGGGGCAACCTTTGAGTCCCGATTACTCAGCACCACAAGTCAATTATGAACCCATTCTTGGAACAGACACCCACAAACCCTTTCTTTTGAGAAGGCAAATGGGAGTGGTCCCTTACAAAAGCACAGGTTATGCCTCTCAAAAGACCCCTTTGAATACGTTGTAAGAATGAGTAGACCTTGACAGTATTTCAGACATATCATTTTAACTTAATTATATAGTCAATGCCTGAGAATTGAAGAACAAAACTTTTTATCAGAATTCTGCTAATGTTGGCACATACAGGTATTCTTTGAAAGGGGACCTAAAGGGAGAGGGAAACAGCACAACTGATTTGCTGATATGTTCCCTATACCCTTTCCACCAGCAAAGTAAGTGTGTCTAGATTTTTCATCCTTCCTTCTTCCTATCGATAACCTCCTTGAATCTCCTGCTCTCCATCATCACTATCGCTCTCCTTCAGCCAATCCGAAGATATGGAGTATCTTCAGTGATTTTACACCTCATGATCAACATTCCAACCACTCAGCTGATGTCCACAGACATATCTTTTTTGTTATTTACCTATCCATTCCTAGTCCTTTAGTATTGCAATGGTAGGGAAGCAAAACTTCAGCAAGCAATTTGAATCTCTCCCTGTTGCTACATTACAGTAACACAAGGGGTAAAAAAGGAATTAAGAGTCAATTTTCCCTAGTAAATAAGGCTGCTTTTCCTCAAGTTCTTTCAATTTACATTTCTTTTTTCCTTTTTTTTTGTAGCTGGGATGTACTGTTCTGATTATGTTTAGAAAATATAATTAACTAAAAAGCCCTGTTTCGAAGACAGAAAA